GTGTAAACTCCGGTGTCCATCAGGAAGGCTGACTAGATAGTGCTGGGCAGGCATTAAGGTTTTCAGGTCAACCTCCTTCAGCAGTGATTGGGAAGCCCTATTGAAAAAGGTCTAGTCTTGCATGGGGTACTTTGCAGCCTGTCTGGGTATTTTGTATTTGGCTTTTACCTCGATAAAGGATGGCTTTCTTCTAGTTTCTTGTTTTTGTTTTTAATGGGTAGTCTCTTGGGCAAAGAGGTTGTCTTGACATTTATAAAAATTTTTAATTTAATGCTTGTTTTTTCTAGCTCCATTCCTGGTTTTCTTCCTACTACAAGGCTTCTTCTGATCCTTTCATGGGAACTGGCCCCTGACTTGCAAGGTCTTTAAAGGACGGTTCTTAATTCACTCTCTCTCTGGTGAACTCTATCTGTTCCCATAACTTCACTTATAAATGGAAGATTCTGAACTCCTATCTTCAGTGCTAAATGTGCTTTTGTACATATACGAGGTCTTCAAAAAGTTCATGGAGAAATTCTATGATCTTTTCCCAGGAATTTTTTAAATCCCCTCATATTTGCCTAGAGATTCTCTAGCGTCCCCTAACTTGTCTAAAGCAGAAAGAACTTTTATCTTATCTTCCAAACCTGTTCCAACACCTGTATCCTCAATGTATCACTATCAACCCACCACCCAGGAAGTCTCTCATTCCCATTCACCCCAGCAACGCCTCTCCATTCTGACCCTTGCTGATCTATACTGCTGCTTTTATTTTAGGCCCTTGCTTGGAATACAGACAGTCTGTCTCCTAACAAACTCATCTCCCGCATCCCCTCCCCTCACTGATCCTTCATCTACATTTTTTGCCAGAGTGAAATCAGAATGTAAAACTGATGATCTAAATCCAGTTCTTAAACACCTTGTTTTGAATCTTCTGGGCTTGGCATCAGGACCCTTCACATTCTGGCCCCAGCCTGCCTTTCCTGCCTTCTTCCAACTCTGTGCCTCATCTTCCTGCTCTCTTACCTCACCCACTCACCGTTCCCCTGCGCACCAAGTCCTGAAGCTCTTTACCTTTATTCATGCTCTTCCCTAAGCTAGGCATGCATCCCGTGTTTCACTCATCCTCCAAGACCTAATTCACCAATTACCCCAGGCAGAGTTAGTTCTTCTGAGTCTCTGTGCTTTTAGGGGACAATGCCACCTGAAGTAGTTTGTGCAACACTGGGTTGCATGTGACTCTTTTGCAGGTCTGTTTCTCCTGGGTTTTGTCTGGGGGTGACTCAAAGCCAAGGTAGTAGCTTCTGCAATGGGTGGCTGCTCAGGAACACTGGACGAATTAATGACCACCGGTGCTTCAGTCGAGCCCTGCCTACTTGTTACCCTATTCAGGAGTCTCTGGAAGTAAAGTAAGGATGTCATTTGATATTCCTTCAGGGCGTTGTTGTTGTTATGTGTCTTTGAGTCCGTTTCTGACTCATATTGACCCTGTATAGGGTTTCCAAGGAGCGGCTGGTGGATTTGAGCCGCTGACCTTCAGGGTCAAACTAACTTTGCGTTCCAGTGTAGTATCCTGCAGCACCAGGGTTTATATTAGGAAAAAGAGGGGAAAGAAAAAAGATAGGTACTACCCCCAAACTCATACTGAGTAGGTATAGCCTATGCCAGGGACCAAATGCTGTGCTGAGCCAGAATGTAAGAAATGGGGTCTTTACTCACCCAGCCTCCAACTTGCCTTAAAACACCATGGGTACTGCCCTCCCAACTGTAGAAAAAACGAGTTACTGTGGAGTCATTTCTGACTCACGGTGAATCCATGTGTGTCAGAGTGAACACAGGGTTTTCCATGACTGAGTTTTTGCAATTAGATCACCAGGTCTTTCTTCCGAGACACCTTTGAGAAGACTCAAATTGCCAACCTTTTGGTTAGCAGCCAAGCGCATAAACAGTTGCTACCACCCAAGACTCCATCTGTAGAAAGCACTACTTCTAAACACAGCTGGCTTTCGCCTCCTCTGCCCTCCTGCTCTCGCGCTTCCCCTTCCTCTTTTCTTCTTCCTTCCCTCTCCTCTTCCTCCACAGAATGACCATTTTCCTGATTAAGCACTCTGTCATCCAAGTTATTTCCATTTCAGCCCTCAGAATTGGGACAGGGCCAGGATCCCTGTTCCCATTTCAAAGGTGAAGAACCAAGTCCAGAGAGAGTATCAGCGCTCAGTGTTGGGATTACCCAACAAGCAAGGTGAGCACAGGCTTACTTGTGCTTACTTACTAATCTGTGGTCAACAGTTGTGCTTTTTTTTTGCTTACCACATCAAAGCTTCTGCTACTCGATCCGGCTGCTTCCTTTATCTCCCAACCCCACAGCACCTTCCTACAGAATCAAAGTCTCTTTTCAAGTGTACCGTCTTTGACAGAGACAGAATACCCAGTAAGCAAGGTAGTCACAGACTTACTTGTGTTTACTTATTAATCTGTCGTGAGCACTTTCACCACATGTAATGGAAAATATGAAATTGATCTCCACAGGTCTCTAAGTAAGCACAAGTATGTTTATGCTTACCATATGTCCTTATTGGGTAATCCACCCCCGATAGGGCCAAGGGTAGGATCAGAGAGTGGGATCTTGCAGCAGCCTGTGAGGGCAGCTGGACTCGGTCTTGAGAAGGTATCAGGAAGCATGGAGAGCCAAGTTTATCAGGGAGGGAGCAGTCCTCAACTGTAAGACCAGGGGCAAGAAGATTCTGGACAGGCAGGCATGTGGGCCAGAACCTGTGACTGACATCTAACCAGGGACTCTTCCAGAGCACGTCTCTGCTCCCTCCCTTGATAGGGGAAGGAAGCAGTTGATTATAAGCCATGGGGAACATCTGGTCATTTCTTTTCCATCAGGTCAAGCAAGGGTGGAGCTGATGGAGGCATTGATGCCAGCATTAGCTCCATGGATGAGAAGCCTGAGGTAATGCTGGCACCTGTGTGGTGTCTGCTTTGCCTGTGGAGCTGCTTGGAACCCCCAAAACTAGTTACAGTGGACTTGATTCTATCTCATGGTGACTCCCTGTGTGTCAGAGTAGAGCTGTGCTCCACATCCACTGAGGGCTGTGCTATTTCAGAAGTTAATTGGCAGGTACCTATTCAGAGGTCTCTCTACTAAAGTGCCTTTGGGGAGATTTTGAACTTCCAACCTTGCACTTAGTAGCCTAGTGCTTAACCACTGACACCACCCAGGGACCCTGCTTGGGACCCAAGTGGGTACAAACATGTGAATGGCACCATCTGTTCAGTGAGTGCTAGTGTGTGCCAGCGAGGAGCTCCATGGGGCTGGGGGATCCCCTCCATCTCTGTCCCCATGGAGGGAGTCTCCTTAGCCTTTGAGTCCCAGGAGTGTTTGGGCCTCTCACAGAAGCAACTGACTTCTTGGAAAGCATAAGCCTCAGACTGAGGGTAGGCTGGCCCAGGTAGCAGAAGGGCTGGAGATGTGGAGAGTTCCAGGAGTGGTTCTGCCGGGGTGGAAGCAGCGAGGGTTGAGGAGGGTTTTTATTCTTCTGAGGTGACTCAGGCTAGAAACATAGCCTGCTTGGGGCTTTATGATATCTCACTAGCTATGCCCCTGTTCTCCCTCCTTTCCCTCTCCTCGTCCCCTTATATTATGGTGCTGGAGGATATGTACTGGACTGCTAACCACAAGGTCAGTGGTTCAAACTCCCCAGAAACCCTATATGGGGTTGCTATGATTTGGAACTGACTCCATGGCACTTAAAACAACAATATTCTCCCAGAGTTGGGGTAGAAGATTACAGTAGCAAATGAGTCTGCACGGAATTGTTTAGGGATTTGTCATTCACGGAATTATCAGTCAAAAAATAACTTCTGTGGACAGTAAGGTCAACCCACCCCTACCCTACCTTCCCCACAATAGATACATGCCAGATACACACCTTGTGTATGGGGGACCCAGGCTAGGAAATGGGTCAGCCCTGTGGTCTCAGACACTGACCATGGGCATACTGAGAGAATGGGGAGGGGTTGAGGTGGATAAGATTGCTCTGATGCTGGGGAGGGGCTGTGACCCGACTCTGGTGGCTCCTAAGTGGGGTTTATTCTAGTGGAACACCACCACTTTAGCCACCTCAACTGGTGGAGACCATGGAGGGAGTCAAGCCAAACCAGGAGCCTGATTGAATGGAGGAGATACCCTCCCAGGCTGAAGATCCCCAGGTCTTCTCCTGGAACCTTGGGAAGGAACTTGGGGATGACAGAGCCAGGGCCTGAGATAAGCAGGGTGTACCTCAGAGATGTAGATAGGAAAGCAGTTCTGTCTTGAGGGCACTCCAGAGCTTCCCAAGGGCTCTGTGGAAGGACGTGCCCAGGAGGGGGGAGGTTGCTGTTCCCAGAAGTCCCCTCCCCCACACAGTACTCACCTGGAGTCTGCTGAACCAAAAGACACTGATTTGCTTTTCCTTAAAAGAGCCGAGACAGGCTTGCACTTTGAAAAGGATGTTTATTAGGACAAATGAGAAATCAACACAGAATACAGATGTCCAATTTCTAAAGCAAGATCTCTGCAGTAATTATGCTCTAGCCCCCAAGACCGAGCAGCTGTGCAGGCCTTTGATGAATTCTCACAGCTCCTTGCCTCTCCTGGCATCATACTCCTTCCAATTCCTGGGAATGACAACTTAGACTCGCTGACCCCTCAGCAAGACACCAAGACCCTTTCCCTGCCTGTTTTGGTCTCCATTCCTGTGGGGGGCTTTACCATGTGGGTGAACATCCCTGTCCTGATGTGAGAGGGCTGGAATAAGTGGACTAAACTCCAAAGGGAATTAGGGAGAGGGGATTTGTTTCCCTTTGTCAGACCCTGTACTGGAGACAAGAACCAATCCCAGCCCCTCTATCTTCCCCAGCTAGGAGGGATGGATGTTCCGGCCCCGGCTTCTGTCTGGCTCCATCTCAGTAGATGCTCCATGTCTGGTTGGTCAAAGCTCACTCTGCTGGCCATAGTCCAGGGAGTGACCTTGTCACTGTGCCCCAGCAGCAGACGTCAAATCCTTCACCTTCATTGTGACCTCCACCTTCCTGGGAGCTTCCATGCGCCGGGAGGGAAGCACGCAGTTGTCCTCACTGGAGGAGCCCTGCCAGCTGTTGGTGAATCCCAGTAGGGCACGGACCTGGCGGAGAAAGTTGGGGCTGGAGAAGCAGTAGAGCACAGGGTCCAGGGCACTGTTGAGGTAGGTGAAGGCCAGGGAGCCATGGAAGAGCTGTGAGCAGGTGTTGAAGGTATGGCAGGCACGCAATTCAAAGGCCGCTACGGTTACAATGCCAAGGAGGATGCAGGGCAGGAAGCAGATGGTGTAGACCACCACCACCATGGCCAGCACGTGCATGGCTCTCCGTGGGCCCGCCTGCCCACTCAGGCCGCGTTGCTGAATGGTCTTCCAGATGCTCACGATCGCGAAGAGGATGAGTGCCAGCGTCAGGAAGAACTCCAGCATTAACAGGACCTCGTGCCAGCGGTGTGAGGCTGAGGAGTTAGTGCCCAGCTGGTAGCTAAGGCAAGTCTTGCTGGAACTCGTGTCTAGGAGCATGTGCACATTGAGGAGCAGGATGCCCACCCAGAGTCCCCCAGCCACCCAGGCAGTCGCCCCCACGGAGGCCTGGCTCAGAACATGATGGGGACGCACGACCTTCAGGTAGCGGTTCACCGCGATGGCTGTGAGGAAGACGACGCTGGCCGTGCGGTTGGCAGATATCATAAAGAGGTTGATTTGACAGGCAATGACCCCAAAGCGCCATGTCTCTTGGAACAAATAGTAATCCACGCGAAGGGGCAGGTTGATGATCAGGAAAAAGTCAGCGATGACTAGGCAGACCAGCAACACGGTGTTGGACGTCCAGGGCCGCGTGTGAAAGCAGAAGATGATGAATGCCAAGCTGTTCCCCACCAGACCGAGGACAAACTCCATGCTCAGAATAGGAGCCAGGACGGCAGACAATGTGGGGGAAGAAACTGGGGAGCAGGTCTCTTCTTGTGTCAAGGTGGAGGGAGAAAGTGTGGGAAAGAGAGAAAGAAAGGGAAGGGGGGGAGTAGGAAAGCTCAGGTTATGGGACCCCATGGCTGCTCCTGTTTGGGCCTGAGGGAAGACGTCTTCAGAGTTGTCTTACCCCTGCCTGAGTGTCCGCGCAGAATGCAGGCAGACTGGACAAGCACTCACTATCAACTGGCTAGCTGAAGTGACGAAATATCCTGGGGTTTTCACCAACATTGAGAGGTCCCTGTTTGCAAGCAAAGGGGAAGCCGTGGGCCTCCTCTCCCTCCGCCCCGCCCCTCCTTGGTGCTGATGAGACCTCCACCCAGGTCTCTGTGCCCAGCCCAGTCTGGGACTTGGAATCTACCCAGACAAAAGGGGAAGAAGGGCTGAGATGGAGGCCCGGATTAGCCATGATGTGGGAGGATAGCTCAGCAGGGGTGGGGTGGGTGAGGGAGAGAATTTATAGCCCTGATTGCTCCCACACATGAAGGCAGTGGCCACCCCTGCTCCCTGTCATCTCCCCACATCATCTTTCAAGACATTTGTTTGTTCTTTTGGCAGTCCATGGTACTTTTAATATTCTCCTCCAATTTCATAATTTAGGAACTCTAGTAGCGTAGTGGTTATGAATCGGGCTGCTAACCTCAAGGTCGGCGGTTCGAAACTACTAGCCGTTCCGGGAGAAAGATGAAGCTTTCTGCTCCCGTAAAGATTTACAGCCTCGGAAACCCTGTGCAGGGTCACTATGACTCCAAGGTACTTAACAACAACCATAACTCAAATGTATTGATTCTTCTACCGTCGTCTTTATGCAGAGTAAAACCTAGGAAACCCTATAAGATAGTTCTATTTTGTCATTTAGATCCCTTTGAATCAGAATCGAATTGACTGCACATAACAAGGGGCACATGTCCACAAGTCTGTTGTAGTTCACCTTTCATTTGTTTCCAGGTTACAGATGATTCCGAAGGCCGTGAGGGTGCGCAAGTTTTATGCACAAGATGAAGTTCATACAAAGGCAGAGGGCTCCCCTATCAGGCCTTTATTGATGCGAACTAGGGGGCTGGAGGCTTCTCCATGGAAGAAAAGATTCCTGAAAGTCCTCACATTTTCCTACCCGTGCTCCTTGTCTACTCAACTCGGTACCCCTTGCAGAACGGAGATGGGAGTCTGGGGCTGCTTTCAGACAAATTATTGGTTCGGCTCTGCCACAGGGTGGCGCTATCATGAGTGCATGCAGCCAAGCCTGTGGATAGAGTGGCGGTTCCAGGCCTCAGGCTTTTTATGACTAGGTACAGCAATGTCAAAGGAAGCTGTGATTCCAGTCCCCTGGGCCCTTCTATCCAGTCCTCTTCTGTCACCAGTTGGCTGTGGTCTGTGCTGCTGCCAACTCGGCCTGGGTCTCTATGGTTCAGGCCCAGTGGCTCCTGGGGGCTCTCACCCAGGCTCCTCCCCTGTCTCCAGCTCCGGACGGAGAAAGGACTAGGGCGGACAGGCAGCCTCTTCAGGAGAATCAGGATGGGGAGGCCACCAGCATGGACTTTGAACAAAGACAAGGCAGGGTTGGAAGCAGCTGCCTGCTTTCCAAACCTCTCAAGTCTCGGCTATAAAAAGTAGTCCTACCTTCCTGAAGAGAGTATGAAATAAGTTATGTAAAAACTTCTAGTGGATAACAGGGCACAAGTGTTCAGAAATGCAAACTCTATCTTTCATTATATTCTGTCTGGGATTAGGCTCACCCTTGGCTACTGGGACAAGCTATTTTCCTTGCAACCAACTAAACCCTAATCAGGGGTTCTCTTGTTCTTTCATACCTGTGTTCTTTCTCAGCTCCTGCCCAGAACAACACAATACAGCCCACACAGCTCTGCTCTCAGCTTCCTTGGACTCTGGGAGTCTGGGAGAGGCTGGCATGGTTTTGTGCTTGTTTGCCCTTAGGCTCATGACCAGAGTCAGTTCACAGTATCAGGCTCTCCCCTGCCCATCAGGGGAGCTTATCAAAGTGGAGAGCTGCCAGGGTGGGGCTGGGTGGAAGGAAGAGCGTTCAGACCTCAAGTTTTCTTTTCCGAGGAAGCTTCGGCTCCAAGCAGGGTCCTGCTCCATCCAACCCCGTTTCAGTTACTCTTGCGACTCCTCTGCACAGCCCAAGGAAACCCAGCTCAGACCTCAGTACCGCTTCTGGGAAACTCAGTGTCCCTTCCACCTCTGGGCCACCACCTCAAGCTCAGGGAACTCTCTTGAACTTCAGGACATTTTGGAAAGCAGGGGTTACCGGGAGAGGGGGTTCTCAATACAGCTGTGTACCCTGCGTTAGGCTGATAACTGTTTGTAGACATTCACAGTGGTTAACTCTGGGTAGTGGTGGTAGTGATTTTGTGTTTACCTACATTTCTACATTTTCTAAATTAGAACATTATTTCCGTTATTGGGAAAAAATAGATGCTATTTTTAAAGTTATGTAGAAAAAAGAATAAACAGGAACAGAAAGAAATAGAGATGATATCAGCTGTCAAAACAGGAACGGTTCAGGGGTCACAAAAGATGATGAATGCCCATCCCCAACGGGTCCACACACGTCCACTGGCACACTATGTCCTAATGCCCTCAACAACCATTGCAGAACCAGGGAGCACATGGGATCTGCCGGCAATGGCTGCCTGTGCCCAGGAGACCACAAGCATTTGTTCCTCAGGAAGCTTTTATTGCAGCCCCTCTTGATGGTGGTAAGTGCTGGGTGGTGGCAGCAGAGCAGAAAGGTGGGTGGTAGTGGCACCTGGGGGGGGGGGGCTGGCATGCACGCAGAAGTGCGTGGTTCTACGTAGGGGAGTGTAGAAGCAGTAGGGACTGGAAGAGTTAACTTGGCAGGGGGCGCGGTGCACACCAATCATGTAGAGGTCGCGCTTATGCACCTCAGGGCTGCTTTGGGCTCGAGACAAGAGGATCACCCCAGGGGCTTCTTGCGGGTGGGGTCCTGGGTCACAGACAGGGCCACAGAGCCTTGTGCGCGTTCCCATGAGTACCTGCGGAAACAGATGGGCGGGGCTTAGGCAAGGTGAGGCCTTGAGGATGTCCCTGTTGGGAAATGTCCTCTCTGTGTAGGGAGTGGGCCCCAAGTGTTGCTCACGAAGTTCCAGCTGGCACCAAGAGGCTGTCATCAGGGGCCAGGCTTAGATGCTGTCCTCCCATCTTCACCGCTGAGGAGCCCTCCTGGGAAAGAGAAGCGAAGAATCAAATGGATGCTGTGGGCTTCCACTCTTGCCTGACTGTCTCCGTATCTGCCTCAGCAAAAGCCCTGGAAGTCCAAGGACCAGGAGCAGTCCAACCCCTGAGGGCAGGAGGCCGTGGGACCCTCTCCCGTCCTCTCCCCGGGCCATACTTGCCAGTTGCCACAGCCAGACGTCCACACCCTGTTTGGGGCCTTTGCTACTGCCTTGTCCATGGGCAAGCACCTGATGGGAAGTAAAAGGCCCTTTATGGTACTTTCTGCCTTACACAGGAGGCGATGGTCTTGAGCCTGGCCTGCAGACATCATGCCTGGGGGTGAGAGACTCACAGCGCCACCCCACTGCCCTCTGTAGGCGCCTCCTACAGCCTCCCATCGGGATACGTGCTGCCCACGTGTGGCTATTTGGGGACGTGCCTGCAGATCTGGGCCTCTGATGCTGACCGCGGGGAAGGCATGCTTGCTGGGGTACATCAGGGGGCCCACATGTGTGCCTGTTGTACATGCAGAACATGAAACACAAACACTGGTTCCCCAGAGGTCCCCACTGCCCTTCCTCTGCAAATCTGGTCTAAGGAAGAGGAAGGCGTGGGGAGGAAATGATTGACAAGGAGTCTAAGACCACTCTGATTGCCTAGCCCCTCTGCACACAGCTGCCTTGTTGAGGCCCTGCTCCCACTGGCCCAGAGCAGCACTTCATGGATATGTTTCTGCATGAACTGAAGCAGGTGAGAGCAGCAGGATCGGATCGAGGGCTAGCTCAGGGCTGAATTACGTTGCCATTTGGCATGGGAGGGGCTCTCACAGTTCTGTCTCTGTCTCACTGTCTGCCCAGGGTGTCTGCCAGTGCCTAAGAGAAGCAGGCTGGGCTTCTAGAGGGCAGGTCTGTAGCCAATGAGCATCCCTCCACGGGGCTAACTCAAACTACAGGGGATTTGGCCAATGGTGAATTTTAAAGTTTAAACACACACTAGCCTCCCAGCAGGTCTCATCTCTTACCCTCTTGATCCTGCCCCCACGTGGTCTAGAAGGATCTTTGTGAAATATTACTCTGGACTAGTTACTCCCTAGCTTCAATACTTGGATAGGTGCCCAGCCCACAAGACCAGCCAGGACCTGGGCTCTGGTTCTTGCTAACCTCAGTCAGGAGGAATGTATTCATGTACACAAACCTGGTGTGTGTGTGTGTGTGATTGGGTCCCACTTCCCCAGCTTTACCTGGGTCTCATACGTGTCCCCGAAGAGACTGAGGGGTGTGCCGGCCTGCAGCTCTCTGCGGTGACCATCCAGCCAAGTCTTCAGGGACATGGGCTCCATGACAGGCCGTGTGCTCAGGGGGAAAGGCGGCTTCTTGAGCAACTGGTCTGCACCCAGGGCAAGGTTATAGTTAAGGTCCTCTGGGCTCAACCCACCCACTGGGTCCCCAGCTTTCCATCACCGGAATGGGCTCTGGACCCAGAGCAATGATCCAGCAACCATGCAGCGGGTTCTATTTGGGTCCATCATCTTACTCTTTAGAGTACTGGTCAGAATACTCAAAAAGAGACCCTCTGATTACCCTGGGCCAAGACATATCCCACTCTGGGACAGAAGGGAGGAGAGAGAAGGGGCTATAAGAGGCCTCACCAGGGATGGGCTTTCCCGTTCTGTACTGCTCAGAGTTGAAGAACCTGCAGATGAGGAGGAAGATGGGGCCCAGTGTTTGTATTTCAGCAGTCACACACACACAGATGCGTTTATTCTCACATTCCCCGGCCCAGGAACTAACTTCCTGTATGTCTACCACCCTTTCTTCCCTTTCTTGCCCCATGGCGTGGCCCTTCTCTCCTCCCCACTGGGGTCTCCAGCCTGGGTCCAAGCCTGGTGGGTGCTGAGGGGAGCACTGCTGGGAGGGGCCACAGATAGTCAGAGGACGGGGGAGAGGGGCATGGACTCACTCCTGGATGATGGGAGCCAACTGTGTGCCAAGGTCCTCACAGTAGAACCACTTCTCAAACAGGACATCCACGGTGTCTCCCACATAGTACCTGCCAGAGCAGAGGACAGGCAAACCAGCTCCCCACCTGGGCAGTCGGCTCTTCGGAAAGGACCCATGTGCTCCCCATCTGTGTGGGGCTATTACTGACAACATTCGCACAATTCCCATTAGCCAAAGGAGTCTGAGCAATTTGGCAACAGTTAGCCTGTAAGGGGTAGACTCCAGCCAGTTTCAGGAAGGTGTTAGCTTCTGTCAGTTTAGCCTCCCAACTCATGGTGACCCATATGCAAAATGGATCAAGATACTACCGGGTCCTGCGCTATCCCTATGACTGCTTGGGGATTGGACCATTGTGACTCATAGTGTTTTCATTGACTGAGTTTTAAAAGTAGATAGCTGATCTTAGTCTGAAAGCTCTGCTGAAAGGTGTATAGCATCAAAGCAGCACACAGTCAGAAGAGGAGTGTCTGTGCTGAGGAGCACTGGCTGGGAATCAAACCTGGGTCTCTTGCTTGGAGGGCAAGAAGTCCACCACTGAACTACCACTGCCTTAAGCCTCTAGGGAGCATTTAATCCAAGTGTCTTCATTTTCCCAGAGGGGAAGCTGTGGCTAAGCCTGAGTCCTAGTCTCTTGAATCCAGAATTAGCTGCTGGATGTCCTCTATCCGTGGCTGGTCGGTCTTAGAGTAGAACCATAAGGAACCAACATCCTCCAGAAGAGAGGTTCTCCTTTCAAAGCCATGGATGTCTTTGAGAACTGGAGCAAGGCTCAGGGTCACTTCTTTGGAGGAAAGCCCTTAAGCACAAACACACAAAGCCTGTTACAGACTCCCCTGAAGCCCGCTGGGCACTCAGCATGACTTGGCAGCTCCTTCACTGGCCTAAGAAGGGCCTGTGTGTGTGCAGCACAAGGCAAATGACCGAATGCCTAAATCCCAGCCAGCTCTGTCTGCTCTTGAACTCCTACTGTAAAAAAGGAATGGTTCTGCTTATAAAAGATGATATAAAGACACACATGCATCCACCCTGTCTGGCACCCTAAACTCTATCCTGGGATAAAGCTGGCCCCGAAGGCTTTATAACTGGACTGCAATGTTCTTCAGGACATGTCTTTGGAGTGGCATTTTAATACGGAGTCCCTAGCTTTTATTAAAGGTCAGAAGCAGCCAGATGAAATCTGTTATTGAATTTGCTGTGAAATGGTCTTGAGGTAACCATCCTCCTCATCACTAAAGGCTCCCAGTATAAAGTCCCCTGTGGGAAATCTCTTTCGGAATTTACGGCAGGGTATCTGTCTCCACAATAGAGTGGTTTGCAGTAGATTATTAGGCAGCCATTGTGATTGTGTTCTTTGAAAAGCAGTTAATAGTATGAGAAATATGCATGAAATTTTTGTAAGTGATAAAAAATCAAATTTCCACAATGAGATACCACTTCAGCCTCATCAGAATGATGATTACCAGAAAACAGAAAATAACAGGTATGGGAGAGGGCGTGGAAGAATGGAAGACCTCGCTAGCCATTGCTTGTGGCACTGGAAGAGGATGCAGCCACTGGGGAAAGTAATATGGTGATTCCTCAATAAGTTCAACATTGAATTACCATGTGACACAGCAAACCCACTCCTAGGAATAGACTCAAAAGAATGGAAAACAGGAACTCCAACAGATACTATACTTCAATATCTACTGTAGCATGATTCACAATAGCCGAAAGGTGGGAATAACCTGAGAGAGATGAAGATAAGCAAATTGTGGAATTTCCATACAATGGAATATTTATACAGCCACAAAGCGCCTAGATGATCCAATCAGTTAAGTACTCAGTTGCCAACCAATAAGTTAAAGGATCAAGTCTACCCAGAGACACCTAGAAAGAAAGGTCTGGCAATCTATATCTGAAAAATCAGCCAATGAAAACCCTATGGGATGCAGTTCTACTGTGACACATGTGGACATGTCATAAGCTGGAATTAACTGGACAGCAGCTGGTTTGGTTATAGAACAGTGAGCTGGGTAGAAAGGTGTGTACAGGGATACTCTGGGTGCTTCTCTAGCTCTGGGGTGAGGCTAGGAGCAGCTGTGCTGGCGTAGGTGAGTGTGACTCTGGCATCCACACCCCCCTCCCCCCCTTTCTGCATCTGATCCCTCGAAGTTGACCTCAGTGTGGAAAGCACCACTTTCAATCACAGTCAAAAGGTCATCGGGCTAAGCTGCCACCCAGGGGGCACACATAACACCCCCCTGTTTTATTCACCCCCCCAATTGAAGCAAGTGCTGTTTGGAGTTTATCTAGGATCTTTTTTGCTGCAGTCTGCTGCTTGTCCACTTGCTCTCCGTGCCAGACAGGGTCCTTTACCTGAGCCCATCTAGCTCTGTTTGCTGCCGTCTCCGCTCAATCACCAGCCCCACAGTGTTGGCAAACCTCTGCGGTGAGTGGGGGATCCCCGCAGGCAGAAGGAATATCTACAGTAGAGGAGACAGATGTGCCCAGCAAGGCTGTAATCCCTCCTCCCAGAGACTTTACTGTATCAAAAAGACCTGGGCATCCATGGCTGACCCACAGAATGCAGGGAGGCCTCTGCTTGTCTACAGAGGCCCACTTCTCTGGCTTTGCCAAGGATAGGGCAGCCTTAGAAGAAGGGATGCTTTAGGATGGGGGGAATGGGCAGGTCAGGAGAACAGGAAAAGGCAGGGAGATATGACCTTGGCCAAGGGGAGGGGGACAAAGGGACAGAACAAGTTCTGGTTCTGATTGACTCTTGTCTCTGCCCTGGGCCCATACTCACCTCTCCCTGCCGGATGACCACGTCTCTGTGTTTCCCTCGCTCCAGGACTTGGAGAACCATGTCGCCTTCCAGCTGGTAAAACACCTGTAGGACAGCAGGTGGCTGGACCCTCCTCACTCCCTCTGCCAGATCTTTGACCATTCCCAGACCCTGAGTTCTGACCAGACAACTTGAAAAACTTTCTTAAGGTCTCAGGAGCTCTGATGCTTCTGCACTGGGGCCCATCTTCTCATGCATGCCAATACCAGGAGTGCTGGGACACACCGAGAACCATGACCCCTGCCACCAAGTGATGATCAAAGTACTCAATACAACAACAGTACCACTCAGTTACTGAGTCCCTACTGGGTGCGAGACCTACTATGTGCCAGGGGCTGTGCTGAATACAGTCATCTTTACAATAACTTCCAAAGGAGTATTAGCTCCAGCAGAAATGAAAAAGAGGAAGTGGAGGCACAGAAAGTAAAGCAACGTGCCCAAAGCCACACAGCTAGTTAGTACTCGAGCGGAAGTTGGGACCTAAATCTGTGAGTGGCTCTGAAGTGTGTGTTTGTTCCTGGCAGGGGTGATACTGTGGCATGGGCTGGAACCAGACCTCTCCAAATCCTGTAGATGCTTGGCTGGGTGTACATGGGTGACCCAACAACACTGGGAGCCTGTGTGGGCTGGGGTGGGGTGGGAGCATTCGTTCCCCTCCTGCTGTCTTCAGGAAGACTGCTACTGCTTTTCTCTTTTTACATCTAAGTCCCTCAAAGCCTTGGAGACCACCCCATGGAGTTAGGAGGAGGCAGCAGGCACATTTTCCTTCTCTATGTCACAGACTGCATGCGTGTGAAAAGCCCCAGTCAGGTGGTTGAAGGGTATTATAATTATTGTTGTTGTTGTTGTTAAGTGCCGTCGAGTCGGTTCTGACCCATAGCGACCCGGTACAGGGTTTCCAAGGGTGTAAATCTTTACGGGAGTAGAAAGCCTCATCTTTCTCCCGCGGAGCAGCTGGTAGTTTCGAACCGCTGACCTCAAGGTTCGCAGCCCGATTCGTAACCACTATGCTACCAGAGCTCCTTATTATAATTATTACTACTTATTATATGAGAAGCTAGAGGTTCTTAGCATTGCATCTACTAAGAGAAATCAGCTGGGGCTCAAGGAAACAGGTATAATTCAATACAGCCCTTTGGCAAAGGGCAGAAAGAGCCTTCAGAATTCACATCTTTGTATGTGGCCACATACAGAACTGGGGGCCTTCCTGGCACAGGAGACTTTCAGTGCTAAAATCACAACAGCTGGTCACCCTATATACCCTTGATCTAGAAATCTGAACTCTAAGGATGTGGCGTCAGATACTCAGAGATATATCTAGTGACAGACAAGGCTGGCTGCTGCAGTGCAGTGTTGTTAAAAGTAGATCCAGCCCTCATCTCTACCAGGTAGCTGTGTGACCTTGATGAACTCACTTAACTTGTCTGTGCCTCAAGTTCCTCCTCCACACCACTACAATATCTACTTCAGAAAGTTGATGTGGGGGCTACCGGGGATGCTGCATGGCACCTGACACCTAGTAAGCACTTGATAAACTCTAACTTTGTTCATATGGGTGATAGAAAAATTGCTCATATAATAAATGAGCAAGTGTAAATATATGGGGAGCACAGTGACTCTGTAGGATAAGTACTGGACTATGAACCACAAAGTCATTGGTTCAAGACCACCAGTTGCTCCGCAGGAGAAAGATGAGGCTTTCTGGTCCCACAAAAATGCAAAACCTTAGAAACCCTATACAGGGTCGCTATGAGTTGGAACCAACTCAACGACACTTAAAATAGCAACAACAAATATTTTATGGTAGATCCAAAACACAGAACATTACATAACCGTTAAAAACTATGTTTTTAAATAGCTTAATAAAATAGGAAAAGTTAAAAGTTTTCGTGTTAAAGATTCAAAACAATATCCTGCTAGGCTCTGATTATGCAGTAATAGATATATAGACTAGACAAGGTGTTAACAATGCCTCCTCCCCACAGTGGTGGGCTTGTGGGAGATGTACAGTACAGTTTTTTTTCTTGTCTATATGTCCCATGTTTTCTACACTGAACTGAACAATATTTACTTTTATTACTAAAACCAATTCATAAATGTTATTTAAAGCAAGGAGGAAAACCTACCTAGCATCCTTACAAAGTAATTCAGCAAGTGCCCCCAATTCCAGCTGGGAATAAGCCCCTGTATGTATATATGGGTAGGGGATTTCCAGGGTGGAGAAGTAAGGAGGGGAGGGGTTTGCAGTCTCCAGCCTCTGCAAGTATCAGGGGAGTGAGTGGGGGAGTCTGAAGTGCCATCTGAGCCAGATTCAAGGGACTACTGGAGTCCTGGTGTGGCACAGTAGGATAAGCACTTGACCTCAGGGTCGGTTTGAACCACGAAGTTCAAACCCACCAGCTGCTCCTTGGAAACCCTATACAGGGTCGCTGTGAGTCAGAACCGACTCAACAGCAGTTGACAACAACAACAACAACTAGTTTTAGGGAGCTCAGTGGCTCCATACGTTAAGCACTTGACTGTGAACCACAAAGTCCACAGTCTGAGCCACCAGTTACTCTTCGGAAGAAAGATGAGGTTTTCTGTTCCCACAGAGATTTAAAGTCTTGGAAACCCTATATAGGGTCATTATGAGTTGGAACTGACATGACAGCATTTCACAACTAGATATTGTTGTTGTTGTGAAGTGCTGTCGAGTTGGTTCTGACCCATAGCGACCCTGTATAGGGTTTCTGAGGAGTAGCTGAACCACTGACCTTGCAGTTCAAATGGCTTTGCAGTCTGATGCATTAACCCACAGCGCCACACCAAACAGAAGGGAGCAGAATTTTCCTTACTGTTGTCTCCCTGCCCATGGCTTCCCAGTGATGAGGACAGGCCTGGCTTAGACTAGGGGTACAGAATAGCACATAATCCCCAACAGCCGTGAGCAATCCAAAAGGAATTATGCTGTTTGGAAGTAAATGATGTTTAGGGGCCTGGGCTGGCTGGAAGATTAGCTGTACTGTCTCAGGCTGATACGAACTGAGTCTGGCTTAGCCTTACAGGTGGGATCCTCTAGCAAGGGGGTGGGGTTGCAGAGAACTAGCATATTAAGTACACTGCACCGGCTCTGTACACATATTATACACACAACTAAGCCCTTCCCACAAGGCTGGGGACATGGTACCCATGTACTGCAAGGAAATATGCCCAGAGAGGTGACAAGACACAATTTACCTGATACCACAAAGCTAGTGAGAGGCAAAGACTGACCCCCAGCCCAAGGGAAGAAGTGGGGTAGCTTGGGTACTTGGTGGGTGATGCTAAGCTATTAGGAGTCTGGGCAGTAGTCAGGGGAACTGAAAGGACTGCTGCCGAGGCCAGAGGGGAAAATGAGGCTCATGAATAAAAGTTAAAGATGTGATTTGAACGCAGGTGTGAGTAACTCACTTTTCATGCTTTGCCTTCACGCTTCAGCCAAAGAAGACAGAATTTGTGACAGGTGCTATCCTCCCCACTCTAACAGCCCTCCCCTCCTCCCCCCAATCTCCCTGCAGATCACAAACCCACCACAGTCCAAATGGTACTCAGCCCCTGAATGTTTCTCCAGAATGAGGACATGTCTCAGGTGGAGTCTTCACATCCTTAGCCCCTTGGCTGAGCCAGGACAGAGCATGGCCTATGCCTGGAAGTAGACATCTACGCATCCCTAGAGCGTCTTGGAGAGACCAGCTGCTCTTCAGGAGAAAGATGAGACAGGTGGGCTGAGTGGTGGGGAGTGCATGGTGGGTGGAAGGGCCCATAGGGAAGAAGACCTGAGAGGTAGATACCGAGATCAGAACTTACTGAAGCAGTGGCTGCTTCTGGCCTGGGACTGACAGAGACAGGCAGGAGAGACCAAGTAGACAACTATGCTGGTTCCCCAACTGTCTCCTCCACAGTGGCCATGCCCAATCAGACCTATCATCTCTCTATAGTTTTGGATTTTCCAGCTGATTTTCCCCACAGCTGTTTCCTGTGAGGTGGATTTGTGGGGAGGGGGAAGCAATTGTGTGAGAAGTAAAGGACTGGCCAGCTTTGCTCTGCTGGCCCTGCCTCTCACCACCTCCACCACAAGGTCAGGGCCTTTCAGCACACTCAGTGTTTGTTCAGGGGAATATATGCTGAATGCCCAGGATGCTCTCCAACTCTGGGCTGGAGCTGAGATGCTTATAGTGAGGGTGGAGACAGGTAACTATGCCAGACTCAGGATCTTGAACCTCAGAATCAGGGGCCTTCCCAGGATACAAGGGTTCACTACAATGATTCTTTTCACCAGAGATTCTGATAGGTCAAAACCCCTCTATGTCCCTCCTTAAAGGGGCCTATCTTTTTCTTATTATTGTACTTTGAGATAGGTAATAGAGAAACACAGTTCAAAATTCAAGGTACCAAAGGGTATGCAGTACAAATTGCGCTTTCCACCCGCCTCCTGTAGCCACACAACTCTGGATATGGAAGTGTTTGGGTGTTAAGGCACTCCAGATAAGGAGAGGGTCATCCAACTCCAGGGCCAGGCCCCTCTTCTATCCCCATCCCTTCCTTCAGCTACCTGCTTCTCATCCCTTAGCCCAGCCCACCTCCTCCTTGGACTTTGGCAGCTGCCTGCAGGCTAAGAAAGTGCCTGGAGACCTTAGAGGGATCCCCCAAAGGGAATGGCTGCTTCTTACTTTGGAAGCCTGGTGGCATTGTGGGTTAGGCATTTGAATGCAAAGTTGGCAGCAGTTCAAACTCACCAGCTGCTCTTCAGGAGAAAGATGAGACTGTCTACTTTCATAAAGATTTAGTCTCCGAAATCCTACATAGTTGTGGCTATGATTTGGAAGGAGTCCTGGTGTGGCACTGTAGGATAAGCACTGGACTGCAAAGTTGGTTTGAACTGCAAAGTTGGTGATTCAAACTCACCAGCCACTCTTCAAAACCCTATCCAGGGTCCCTATGTGTAGGAACTGATGTGATGGCACTTAACACCAACAGGAGTTTGAAGGAGTTCTGTTACATAGTGCTGTAGGATAAGCATTGGACCACTAACCACTAACCACTAGGTCAGTGGTTCTAACCCTCCAGCTACTCCATGGAAACCCTATACAGTACTTAACAACAACAATATGAGTCAGAATCAACTCCATGCCAGTGGGTTTGGGTTCTTCTATGTTCGGGGTATGATGAGGAGGCCATGGCAACAACCCCCGATATGGGGGTTGGCCAACAGCCAGAGTCTCTCACACCCACGGAAGCTGGTCTACTTTCTGGGTCTTCCAGCCCAGCTCAACGGCTCAGACTCCTTTGAGAATGGGGCTGTGGAAGGCGTCAATGCACCCCTGCCCTCTTAATTCCAGGCAGTGGTTTTCCTCTGTGATTTCAGCTGTGCCCCTTTACTGGTCCCCCAAGTCAGCCATCGCCTCTCCCATCCAAGTTCTGGCGTTGGTGCGCTGGCCTGGAAAGCACCCCCAATGCCAGAGACACAGTCCCACCTCAGGGCTGGGTCAGGGGGGGTCAGCCCATAGACCTACCTCCTCCCCCTCCTCGATATGGTAGTCCTTCCTGACGTTGGGGCCCCCAACAAACATGACTTTGAGCTGCTCTTGATGCCTGCAATGGACAAGGAAGGAAAGATCTTGATGCAGCTCCTGAGAGGAAGGGCAGGAGGAAGCAGGGAGGGAGCCTGGGAGTACCTGGGGGAAGGCAATTTCTGCATCCCTGTCCCTTTAAGTCTCCACTGTGTGCCTGTGTGCCTCTGAGTGTCTGTCTGTCTGTGTTGCTCCATGTGTAACTATGTGTGCATGTCTGTTTGTCTCAGTTTATTTGTGTGTAGGTCCATCTGTGTGCTTATGAGTTCCCACATCATCTGTAGAACCTCTGCTCGCTGACCCTATTGGGGGAACATCTTGGTGGGGGATCGATTTCATTTCTTCATCACAGCCGGGATCCCTGGAATGTGCTCAAGGTCTCCAATTACAGGAAGCAAATTGGAGACCTCACTTCCCAGGGATGGGGGACAGGTAATGTGACCTTCATCTACCACCAGAGCTTTCTGATTATAAGACCTCAACTCTCCAAAAACTCGCTAGGCCTCACTTCATGGACTCATGGAATTGTGGTATAGTGGTTAAAAACCAGCTTCGGAACCAGACTCCTCCTGGGATGAAATTTGATTCAGCCACTGACCTTGGGCACATTACTTAACCTTGCTGTGCCTCAGTTTCCTCATCTGCAAAATGGAAAGACAGTTCTTCATGGAGTTTTTAGAGGTTACATAAATTCCTATTTGTAAGCATTCAGAATAGTGGCTGCCACAGAGTAGGCACTATTGTTTGATACGATTAGATGCTCTTGGTGTAGTGCTGTAGGATCAGAACTGGATTGTGAACCACAAAGTCAGCAGTTCAAATCCAACAGGTGTTTTTCGGAAACTCTATGCAAGGTCACCTTGAGTGGGAACCAACTCAGCAGCACTTAACAACAACAACAAAGATAAGTAAACCTAGTGTTACCCTCTCATTCTGCAGATGAGGAAGCAGGCTCAGAGAAGGTCACACAGCCAGAAAATTATTTGGTTTTCCTCCCCTTTTGGGAAACAAGGCTCAATAAACAAAAAACACATACACACACAGTCATGCCTAGTGTGTGAAAAGATGGAGGTCATGGGGCAGGAGTGTGAGAAATTCTCAAGATGGTCCATCTTCAGGAATGAAGGGCCCAGGAAATACTTAGACAAGATATAGATTGTTCATTCACATAGCAACAAGGGCTTCAGTCCCAGGGGTATGAGGACAGGGGGAGAGGGAGGAAGAAACCTGTTCTACAGCTAGGAAATTTAAATAAGAATACCGCCATTAAGGCCTTAGGTGCTGTCCAGGGAAAGACTGTTAACCCCATAGTACTCAAATCAGTGAGGAACCAGGGGAGGGACCTTCTCAGAATAATATAAAATTCTTGGACAGCCAGCCATGTGGTGCATCTCTGCCTGTGTCCTCTAGGGTAAGAGCCTGATTCTGCAAAATCGAATAAAGAAAACCTCACTTTCGCTAAAATGAGTATAGAATGGATTTCTTGAGCATTTGTCAGTAAGCACTTGTAGTAACTCATCGGTGACCTCATAACCCAGTGGGACCCAAAGTAGTATCCAGGGTAACCACAACGTTTCTACAGGAGGAGGCTGGTATGGTGTGGTTCTGAGTTGGAGTTAAAGCTGTGTAGGGCTCCATGGAACGTAGGTAAGCTGAGAAGCACCTAGGGAAGGGAATGGGAACGAAGCTAGGCACAGAGGCCCAGGTATTAAAGGTGCTGGAGTCTAGGTGATATGGGGATCAGTAGGGGTCAGGCTGAATCCAGAGAGGAGACCAAGCCTTGAATTTGGTTTTGATCTAAGAGGTATCAAGGATCCTTGGAAGTTTCCACTTTGCTTTCCTTCCTTCTACACTTTTCTCCCTACCTCCCTTCTTTCTTTTAAAATAAATTTTACTAAGCTGTAATTTAAGTACATGCAGAATTTAAGTACGTGCAGAAGGTTCTTGATTAAGTCTACTCAGGAACTATTTCAACCATCAAGTCATGCCAGCCTTCTGCTCAAAGTCCTCTAGCAGTTTCTCATTTTGCTGGGAGTAAAGCCACAATCTTCTGTGGCCCCACCATGTCTAAGATTTTGCCATGTCTATGGCTCCTCAGGCTCATCTGCCTTATTTTAGCCAGCTGTATTAGTTCACTAAGGAGCTCTGGTAGTGTAGTGGTTAAGAATTGGGCTGCGAACCTCAAGGTCAGCAGTTCGAGACTACCAGCTGTTCCATGGGAGAAAGATGAGGCTTTCTGCTTCCGTAAAGATTTACAGCCTCGGAAGCCATATACCGGGTGGCTATGAGTCGGAACCGACTCCATGGCATAGAACAACAACAATATTAGTTCACTGCCTTCTCCAACTAAAACACCAGCTCCTTGAGGAAGGGGTTTTGGTCAGTTTTGTCCCCTGGTGCCTCCCCAGTGTCCGTCCCAACAGTGCCTAGCCCATAGTGGGTGCTCAGTGGACATTTGTTGAATGAATAAAGGGAGAGGTCTTTAGTTTTGTGATTATTCATACTGGGGCAGGGCTGGAGGGAGCTCCGCAGGTAAAGGCATCTAGTGCTGTCCAGGCTGGAGGTGATGAGAATGAGACAGGGCAGTGCCTGTAGTACTAGGGGAGAATAAATAGATGTGAGATATTCCCAAGGGGAGAACTTAAAGGTCTGTTATGAAGGGTGTTAGTAGAGGAGAGAGACAAAGACAATCATAAAATTTTGAGCTGAGGGCAACAACAGTGATACAAGACATGTTTACCATTAGCCACAGTGGTATTTCATAGTGACCAAGAGAGTGGACTTTGGAGTCAAACTGTTCCATGGACTTGTTCCACACTAGCTCTGTGGCACTGAGCAAGTTACTTATTAAAATCCCACCTTATGAAGCTAATATGAGAATAAAATGAGTTGATGTGGAGACAGTTGCTGCAGGCTTGCCTGTCGATATGGTAAAAAATTCTAACTGAGGTATCACCTGTTAGAGCTGCCCTGTAGGCACAGCAAACATGAGCTGTGGGAAGGAGAAGGTGATCAAGGGGTACCAGGCCTGAGAGATCTGTCAGAGAAAGATGGCAGCTGGACAGAGGTCAAGCCTGTTGTGTGCTGCAGGCAGAGATGGCGTAGAGAAGGCCTGGTGTGAGTGTGTGTGCCAACAGAGTTAGTTCTTTGGATTTACTCTTTGTCTGCAAACCTGGGTTCTACTACAGTTTGGGGCAATTAAAACTACCCTGGGAAACCCTGGTAGTGCAACGATTAAGCATTAGGTTGCTAACCAAACAGCTAGCAGTTTGAACCCACCAGCATATTGTGGTGCTGTGGGATAAAGCAGTGGACTGTAAGGTCAATTTGAGCCACAAATTTGGTGGTTTAAATTCACCAACTATTCCTTGCAAACCTTCTACAGGTTCTTTATGAGTCAGAACTGACTGACAGCTTTTAACAACAGCATATCTGTGGGAGGAAGATGTGGCCATCTGCTTCTTTAAAGATTTACAGTCTTGGAAACTGTGGGCAGTTCTACTCTGTCCTAAGAATCTGAATCAAATCTCTTGCAGTGGGTTTGGTTTGATTTGGAAAGTCACCCTCCCCAAACTTTCCAGTTTTCCCACAAGTGCAGGGGAAGACTTGGAGAGTTATTTCTCAGCCCTGAGAAGAAGAGGTGGGACCACTCTGGTTTGTCCTCAGAAGACACAGTTTTCACCAGAACTGTGCATTCACCAGAAAGAGGAACAGATTGAGGGTGGTGGAACCCGGAACAGCCTATCCTCACTAACTATGAAGGCTCCTTGAAATTGACAACCCTCGTCATGGTCATGTAACTTCTGGGTCAAGTAACTGAGGGTTGGTTGTAGGTTGAGGGATACAGATCGTGGGGGTGGGGAGAGGCAGGGTGGACAGAAGGTTAGAAGACCGGGTGAGGAAGGGTGTGCCAGGGACTTACAGGAGCTTGTTGCATACTGGGGGCAGGAAGGAGGCCCTGTTCTCTTCCACCCAAGTCTTCACTCTCACAGGATTCTCCATGGCCTGCTGGAAAGCAGCGGCAGTCTCACGGTAGCGTCCTCTCAGTCCTCCCTGTCCTCCCTGCGGACCTGAAACACTCAGCCACCTATCGGCCGCCTGGTTAATCAACATCCCAAGATCAAAGGGCGGAGCTGCCCGCTACCCGGGTGCCTAGGGTTAGGATCCGTGTTTTGGTCTGGCGCACCCCTTTCCTCGGTGCTACTCTGAAAGCTGTCCTGGTTGCGCACCGATGGGGGGCCGGGGGGCAGAGTCTGGAGAGGGGAAGGGGTCAGGCTTCATGCAGAAGCAGTGCACTTCGTCCAGTCCCCTCCTTTTCCACTAGCAGGGGCTCAGCACATCCTGGTGGTGCAGCCTAACACTAGGCAGACAGGTCCCTCAAAAAATACTGTCCTGGGGAGAGCCTGAGTACGTATGTGTTGGCACTGGATTTAAGCCTCAATCGTCTCATCTGTAAAATGGGAATGAATAACCGTCTCCTCCTAGTGTTGCACGCATCCGAGTGGAAAGTGAATGTTCCCACTCCAAGTCCAGTCCTCTCCGGAAGAGCGAGGTCAGGCCAGAGAGCTGAGGTTTAGTGAGTGCCTGACTCTACGTTTGGTTTGGGAAGGGACGCAAGGAGAGGCTGGGGTTCTAGGCTGGGAGCACTGCTGGGCACTGTGCTGAGTCCCTTACCTGTCTAAGAGCACACAGGTCACAAAGCAGTCCTAGAAGGAAGGGGTCGAGACATTATTTTTCAGAGAAACGGGGCACTTGGGCGCACAGAGAGAGTCTTTACAGTTCAGTGTGGGAGACCTTAATACAATTTATCCTAGGGGGAGATCTGAGTGTGTTGGTGTGGGGGTAAGAAGGAAGGAGAAGGATAGTTTGCCTCTCCATGTCCCCTGCCCCCTGCAGGACTCTGAATTCTAGAAAATTGAGTTTGCTTGGAGAGGTGGGGAGTTGAGTGGGGAGATGGTAGGAGGGAGGAGAAAGAAAATAGCTTAGGCCCCTGACAACAAAGTCCAGACTGTAGAATTTGAGACATTTAAAACTCCTCAGATTCCTGCTTAGGCAGCTCATCTTGCCCTCTCCATGCTGCCTAAAGCTGCGGTTTGGGGTGTGTCCTCAGACATAGACTCCCCAGGTGGACGTCCAAACCCAGACAGACGCCAAACAAGATTTCTACCACATCCTTTGGGACCCTTATGTCTGTTTCCTCGTCTCTCCCCTCTTCTATTTCGTTATTTCTTTAGAACATTTTAGTTGGAACATTGCTTCTAGAATATTGTTTGGCGTTAGAAAAACTCAAGACACAGTCTTCATCTTTCTCATCTACAAGCAATAGGAGGAGATATAAACAACGACACATGAAGCACAAGGGATCTATGTGATGTTTTATGTTTGCTTCAGATGCTTGTCAAATGGATGGATGGGAGAGTGGGTGGATGAAGGCATGAATGAATTCACACTAAAAGGGAAAACAATTTTGATTTCTGCTCAACAGATGTTGTTACATAGTACAAAGGAAAGAATGATGGTTAGCATGCATTTTAATCAATGTAGTAAAATAGTGTGAATAATTGAGATCCCAAGTGGAATTTGGGGGTCTGAATAATCCAGATAAACTTTCTACACCGTTTAACCTACTATCACTGTCAAATGTAGCCTCTGGTTTGTGCTATGCAGACAAAACCTCATGTCTGTTAACTTGGCTAGCCACCTTACTCAGGTGTGGAGTGCCATTTGACTCTGGTGTTCAGAAAACATAGTCTCCATTTGTTTGTGTGATCTGACATTGCTTAGTCACAGCCATCTGGAATCTTTCTGAATACTGACCTTTGGGTCCTTTCAGGCTTCTGGACCTCATCTGCTCTCGTATGCACATGCCCAGGAACTCACTTGAACCACATAATCAGGAGCAAACAGCATCTGTCATAGAATTAGAGATCATTAAGACCTCTTAATTTTTTGCTCGCTACTATCTTACTCTGGTCTCCAATAGCTGTTACCTGCCCTCACCACTAAGATCCATAGATGCTTCTAGGCCTCTATGAACTTGACTGGTAATAATGGTTAAATCTCTCCGGTTCTTTATTGGAATAAACTGGTTGCTGGCCTAACTCAAAAGTCTGGCAAACCTTTCTGCTCCAACTGATCCTTTACTCCCAGCCTACCTTCCTGTTTCTTCAAATGTTTTATCTTATGAAATTGAGGGTTTATTTAAAGAACAAATAGCCTTATATGAACCAAAGGACTAGATCATAAACTATATTGATTGTTTGGAACTCTGGAAAGAGTTTGAATCTATTTCATCTAGTTGTTCAGGCATTGTTTAGAATAAGACTATTTAAGAAATTCTACATGTATGGAGTTTTACTTTTTGTTTTGGCTACCATTCTGTTTTATGTGTGATTTTATTGTACTGTAGTTAGTGAAGACAGCCTGTGTATTGTTTTTAGAGTAGAGGAGCATACTAAGCTTGTTTCATGTGTTTATAAAAATAGTATGTGTTCTCTGCTTATATAGTTCTCTGCTTAGATAAGGTATTATCTTAGCTATTTAGTGCTGATGTAATAGAAATATCACAAGTGGATAGCTTTAATGAACAGAAATTTATTTTCTCACAGTTTAGGAAGATTGAAGTCTGAATTCAGGGTGTCAGCTCTATGGACAAATTCTCTTTCTTTCTGCTCTGGAGGAAGGTCTTTGTGTCTTTTGTGTTTCTATTCCTAGGTTCATAGATGATCATGTGGCACATATCTTCTGCTGTGTGCTCACTTAACCTGTTCTTTCATCTCCCGAATGATAATGATTTAAGAGACACTGTACACTAATCCCACCACTTCTCTGTCAGTTTGTCGTACTGTGGTGACTTGTGAGTTGCTGTGATTCTGGAAGCTATGCCACCGGTATTTTAAATACCAGCAGGGTCACCTATGGTGGAAAGGATTCAGATGAGCTTCCAGACAAAGAAAGACTAGAAAGAAAGAGTGACGAACTACTTCCAAATATTTAGTCACTGAAAACCTTATGAATACCAGAGAAACACTGTCAGGTATAGTGCCAGAAAATGAGCCCCTCAGGTTGGAAGGCAAACAAAATATGACTGGGGATGAGCTGCCTCCTCAAAGTAGAGTTGATAGTGATAACGTGAATGGAGTAAAGCCTGTGGGAGAAAAGACCATGGGACCTTCATTTGCTGATGGGGCACAACTCAAAATGAAGAGAAACAGCTGTAAACATCCCTTGAAAATCGGAGCATGGAATGTACAAAGTATGAATCTGGGAAAATTGGAAGTTGTCAAAAATGAAATGGAACACATGAACATCGATATCTTAGGCATTAGTGACCTGAAATGGACTGGTATTGGCCATTTTGAATCTGATGACTGCATGGTTTATTATGCTAGGAATGACAAATTGAAGAGGAATGGTGTTGCATTCATAGTCAAAAAGAACATATCCAGATCAGGTATGAGGTACAATGCTGTCTGTGATGGAATAATATCCATGAGCCTACAGGGAAGCCCAGTTAATACCACTATTATTCAAATTTATGCACCAACCACTGAAACCAGTGAGGATGAAATAGAAAAATTCTACCAATTTCTTCAATCTGAAATTGATCAAACATGCAATCAAGATGTATTGATCATTACTGTTGATTGGAATGCAAAGGTTGGGAGCAAAGAGGAAGGATTAGTAGTTGGAAAATATGGCCTTGGTGATAGAAATGATGCTGGAGAACACATGATAGAAAACTGCAAAACCAATGATTTGCTCATTTCAAATATCTTCTGTAGACAGCATAAGAGATGACTATACACATGGACCTCATCAGATGGAATACATAGAAATCAAATTGACTACATTTGTGGAAAGAGACAATGGAATAGCTCCATATCATCAGTCAAAACAAGGCCAAGGGAAGACTGTGGAACAGACTATCAATTACTCATATGCAAATTCAAACAAGCTGAAAAAAATGAAAACAGGCCCTCGAGAGCCAAAATATGACCTTGAATATATCCCACCTGAATTTAGAGATCATCTGATGAACAGACTTGATATATTAAACACTAAAGACTGAAGACCAGAAGAGTTGTGTGGGATGACATCAAGTACATCATTCATGAAGAAAGTAAAAAGTCATTGAGAAGACAAGAAAGAAGGAGAAGGTCAAAATGGATGTCAGAAGAGATGCTGAAACTTACTCTCCAGCATAGATATGCTAAAGCAAATGGAAGAAATGAGGATGTCCAAGAGCTGAACAAAAAATTTCAAAGATCAGCTTAAGAAGATAAAGCCAAATATTACAACAAAATGTGCAAAGATCTGGAATCAGAAAAGCAAAAAGTAAGAACGTGCTCAGCATTTCTCAAGCTGGGGAAACTGAAGAAAAAATTCAAGTCTTGACTTTCATTATTGAAAGATTTACTGGGCAAATTATTGAATGATGCAGAAAGCATCAAGAGAAGATGGAAGAAATACACAGAGTCACTGTACCGAAAGGAAATGGTTAATTCTCAACCGTTTCAAGAGGTAGCATATGATCAAGAGCCAATGATACTGAAGGAGGAAGTCTGCAGGGGCCAGCCCTGCATGAACCGAGTTCCAGGAGGCGGACCGAGGATTAAAGTGACAGGAGAATCAAGACGGTCAGTTGAGAGTGCTTTAAATTCTTACAGATTCAATTAAATACATATCTCTTAGGTATGAGGGAGAGGGCAAATCATATATCTTTAGTTTAATGATTCACAAGACCTTTGCTAGATCACAACACCATTGACATCATTCAATGAGAATAATATATTGGAAATCAGTACATGTAAAGATTGGTTTCATTGGTAGAGAACACAATTTCCAGGATAATTATAAAGATATGGATCAAGAGCTACATACTACACTAGTCACATACTTCAGAGTAATTTTCTTAACTAACTTGTTTTCCTACTATACAGGTCCGTGTGGTCTTGGCCCATTGCCGATGGCTAGCAAGGTCTTCCTTGTAGCTCTCTCCA